ATTGCCTAGGGCGTGATCGTACAGTGAGATGTCATCCTTGGCTGTGAGCTGTAGGTAGAGGTGCAGGTCATCGAGCCAGGTGTCAAACTTCACAGGGCGGCCCTCAGCATCGAACACAAGAACCTATGGGCTAGCCATAGGAACAGTAGACCAGTAGCAGTAGCAGTAGCAGCAGCAGTAGCAGTATAAGAAGTAGGTAGGACGAACCAGATAGGGCAGGGCGGCGCGGCTCGGTGTAGTTCGGGTCGCGGCTCGGCTTAGGTAGGGCGGCGCGGCTCGGCGAGGGCGGCGCGGCTCGGTCTGGGTCGCGCGGCTCGGCTCGGGTCGCGCAGTTCGCCCGGGTCGCGCTGTGAGAGGCTAGCGCGGGGCCGACGGGGGGGCCTGAAGGGGCTAGCGCGGGGCTTCACGGGGCCGTTCAGGGCTAGCACGGGGCCGTTCGGGGGCCGTGAGAGGCTAGCGCGGGGCCGCACGGGGCCGTTCGGGGCTAGCGCGGGGCCGTGAGGGGGCCGTGAGAGGCTGGTGCGGGGCCGACGAGGGGCTTAAGAGGCTAGCGCGGGGCCTGAGGGGGCCGTGATAGGCTAGCGCGGGGCCGCATAGGGCCGTTCGGGGCTAGCGCGGGGCCTGAGGGGGCCGTGAGAGGCTAGCGCGGGGCCGCACGGGGCCGTTCAGGGCTAGCGCAGGGCCGTTCGGGGGCCATGAGAGGCTAGCGCGGGGCCGACGGGGGGCCTTAAGGGGCTAGCGCGAGGCCTTAAGGGGCCGTGAGAGGCTAGCGCAGGTCTTAAGGGGCTAGCGTGGGGCCGACGGGGCCTCTAGGGAGGTAAGCGCGGGGCCGTGAGGGGCTTAAGGGGCTAGCGCGAGGGCCTCAGGGGGCCTTAAGAACGAGGCGCTCTAGGCAGAGGTAGTTAGGTAGGTAGTGGTGGTGGGCCCTTAAAAAAAAAATTCGGTCCTAGTGAAGGACCTGCTCTAAAACCATCTCAGAAGTACGAAACTGGAAATGATTGACTAGAATGGCAGTTGGGTACAAATAGGTCAGAACCTAACCCTAGAATTATGTACCCTCTATAGGCTAACCCACTGTAGCCTAAACAAACACAACATATATAATGTTTGACAGACTGAAGTTGTACAACGCCTTGTCGTCGTGTGCGCAGGTTCTGATTGTTGGCGACCGTGATGACTACTTCTCGCTGGAGTCGATGTTCGCGTTGAACGAAGCGCCCGGAGGAGCACATATGTTGTCCGCAGCAACTGTCCAAGAACCAAGTGTCTTGCCCGGATGGTTCGCTTTGGGCGATGGCGGCGTACGTCGGATTCGGCTGGAGTGACTCGCGGCGAGGCGTCCTGTTGTCGAGCTCTTCTTCCGGTGAGTAGTGCGGTGGTGATTCGGTTGTGCAGGAATCGCTTATCTTCACCATGCAGTTGACAACGTTTCTTGCTCCTTGTGCAGATTGTCCCGTTGGAGTCGTTGAAGCTTGGATTGTGGTCGTCGGATTTGCTTGCGTTGAAGCAACTTGGGAGCTTGAAGGCCGGAGTTGTCGCTGTGGTGTCGTCGACTGCTGACGAGACGGGCAGTGCGTGCGAGGATGTCCCGAAGTCTTGCAGATGTGGCAGAACGGAGGTACCGTCTTCACTTGTTGCTGTTGTCGATTGTTGTTGCCGTTGTATCGTCGTTGAGTGTGAAACGCAAACTCCGGTGCTAATGCTTTCTTCTTGTGTCTTTCTTCTTGCAGGTCCATGTCCTGCTGCTCAGCATGAATTTCGGCGCAGAGTGCCGCTTCGGAGATCCTCCCGTGTGCTCGCAATATGGCGCGAGTGGAGCGCCAGTGGGGTCCGAGACCGCCGATGACCACCGTGACAAAAGCGTCTTCTGAAATCGACCCTCCGCATCGAAGGAGCTTGTCGCGCAGTTCGCGGCAGCGGCTGATATAAGCCATGCCTTTCTCCCCTGTTTTCATTTCAATCGTTGTCAGCTGCGCCATTAACCTGCTTTGATTTACGCTGTCTGTTGCTTGATACAGGTTCCTGTTAGAATAGTAGGTAGTGGGGCCTAGGCTTAGTAGCCTAGGCCCACACTAGGAGGTAGGTGTGTGCGCTCTAGAGGTAGGAATTAGGGTTTGCGAAGGAGAATTGGAAGAATGAGTATGGATTAGCAAGCAGCAGGACACACAAATAGCAAACCCTAAGGGGTTGTACCCACTATTGAGCACCCCACTGCAGGCTACACAAATAACATTCTGACAGTTCTTCAGGTGGTTGTACGCGAGCTCCGCGGAGTTGCCGTAGCCTCGGTAAGTCCTGATGTTCTGCTGCTGGGTCGGGGTGATATTTCTTAGCAGTATCGTGTATGCCATCATTGATTGATAGGTGTACTGCTGCTTCTCATATTGTGTCCCGTTTGTTGGATATGGCAGGGACCCGTCGAAGAAGCCGAGAATCTGTGCTCCTTCCATCATCAGCTCGAACTCGAACGACCAGGTGAAGAAGTCTTTTCCGTCGAATGGCTTTGTCGTTTGCAACTTAAGAACATGCGCGAATTGCGATTGAACTTGTAATGCGTCCAACCCCTTTTCTTGTCCCGGTGCAGATTGAGGTTGCGGCATGAAGCTGACGAAGCCACGCTGGGGCTCGTACGGCGCAAAGGTAGGCTGCGGTTGTTGTTGTTGAATTCCGCGTGCGTAGGATGAGCCGTCAAGACTCATAGGAGTCACGTTATTGTAGTTGCTGTTGTTCGACTGCGCAGGTACTCCTTGCTGGTGCTGCTCGTAGAAGGACATGAAGGAGAAGAACTTCTCCATCATGCTTGGATCGAAGCTTGCGGGCGTTTCCGTGGACCCAGCTGCTGGTCTCATGGTAGTCCCTTCCTCTGTCTGTAGACCAGAGACAGGAGGTGGAGTAGGAGTAGTGCCTGGAGAACCGTTGGAGGAGCTCCTCTCCTTCCTAGTAGACATGTCTTCTTGTATTTGAGTGTTAAAGGAAGATAACTTTCAACTCTAACTGCTCTCATACCATGTTGGGCTGAAGTGCCCTAAGGATCTTTGTAGAGTGTAAGTATGAGTAGGATTGTAATAGCGGAAGCGTTTTAAGTGAAGTCTTGAACCACCTTGCGCTGGTATGTGAGGGCAAAGTAAGTTGATTAAAACAAGCAAGTACAAAGCTTTATATAAGAGTGCAAGGAATACGAATAGATATAATTAAACTACTTTTGCTGTTGCGATTCGATACAGTGCGACTCGGGCAACTGCTCAATGTCGAGTCAGTTGTGTGTCCTTGCTGTTGCGGTGTATTTGTCAAGTCAAAGGTTGCTGACCTTTGACCTTCGTGTAACCTCCAGACGGTTACCTCAACCTCCGAGGGTTGACTCGCGATGCTTCGATTCGGACTGCTTCGCTAGTGTCCTGAGTTTCGACACGACAGAGGCGCTTTAAGACTTATTATTCCCAACACCACTTAGGCAAGCCACCAAAGCTGTACACTAGCATGCTTAGCAGGCAGGCTTAGGGTGATTTCCAGGCCAAGCAAAACATCAGTGAGGTGGGAGGAATTCCGGCAACAAATGCACACCTGGAGAACAAGAATAAGGCCCTGTTCGGCTGCACAAAAAAGCGGTCACAACCAACCAATTACCGTATTACCCCGGATATAAGCGCACCTGCGCTTATAATAAAACAGTGTTTTTTAGGGGGGTGCGCTTATAATTGAGTCAAATTTATAAGCGCATGCGAAAATATAATGGCAAATACATAACTATGATTTAAAGCACCAAATTGTGCATCCCAGTACAGTTGCATTTTTAATCAAATTGAAATGGGCATCAGAATCGCGCGAGGGCGATTTTCTGCCGGCGCACAGGGGCAAGGACGCGTCAAGCTTGCCCCGCTCCAGTATATGAGCCAATCACATACAGTCGCTCGCTCAGTGCACAGCACCCACGGCTGTGCTGTCAGTCAGCTTCGCCCCAGGCCAGCATATGAGCCACTGGCGTGCAGTCGCTCGCTCGCAGCGCACAGGCACGGCCCCTTTTTCCACCCACACCACCCCCCCCCCCCCCCCTCGCCCCGAAAGGGCTGTCAGTCAACGGCTTCGCAAGGTTCCGCCTTTCTTGATCGAATCGCCCGTGCTCAAGAGAGTCAACCGAAGTACGGTAGAAATGGATGCGGGTGGACTCGCTGCAAAATAGGGAATTGTTACCGTTTTAATCATGATTTAAAATAAAAATTGTACATGCGCTTATAATAAATCAAGGTTTTACAGGGGGTGCGCTTATAATTGAGGATCGGCCATAAGCGCATTGCTCCAGATACAAGCGCATGCGCCTTTGATAGGCCTGCGCTTATATCCGGGGCCATACGGTACCAACCAGAACAGAACAAACCAAACAGTAAATGAGGCTCAGGACTCTTGCTGACTCATGGTGACGTGTAAAAGTCCCCTACTATTGGTCGCATTTTCGAACGTCTTTCCAGACCAGACTCGTATTTGTTTTAGGTTTGTTGTTGGTTCCATGACAACCCAACAGTGCCAACCAACAAGAAGTGCACAGTAATCCACGGGCAAAATGAAGTACAATGCTGGTTGGTTCTTGGTCCAGTGCTGATCTTGCTTTCAACGTGGGCAGGAACGGTTGTTTGTTCATTGGGAGATTTCAACCAACAGACCATTGGCTAGAGTACTGGTCCCCCAACCTCCAACTGCCCAAAAAGTGGGTAAACTCACGCCTACTTATAACAAAAAAAAAGCCCCTTGCCAATTGCAACCTGCTAGAGAAAGCTCGTTGCAACCAAGGCTAACCCCAACTCACTCGACATGACTTGCTGGTCGACCTGTCACACACCTTGGGAGTACAAGGATACCTATTAACTCGTCACGCACTCCCCGTAGCTCCTAATCTCCCTGCCCGTAGTCTACGTTCACACTCCCCTCGCTTTCCTGAGCGCACCGAGCCGCAACCGCCGACCTACAGGTATTTGGAGGGTAGTGTAAGAGAAAGTCCCCATCGCGAAATGCCCATTCTTTGCAGTAATATACGCTGTCTGGTCTCATCCTTTAAGGTACGCCTATAGAACCGCATGAGTTCCCCCCGGGTCGTTAAAACTCAGTCTAAGGCGCATTGCTTTCGTCTCGTCTAGGATCTCAACGGCGCCTCCAGTCACATCGACGCGCCCCCTATTCCCATTGTCGATCTACCCGTCCCCATGGCGCGCAACTCCTCCCCTCGTCGCTCTGGCCCATTAAATATACCCGCCTCATTTCCCGTGTTGCGTTCCTCGCCTACCGCCCTTCCAATAGACCCTAACGTTGGCGTTGTAACGGATTCAAGCATCACCTTTTAATATAGCAACCAAATAGCCTGCATGGTGGAAATCTCCCACTAATAATAACGAATGCATCCCACAAATCTGCCATCTACTATGCGTTAACCACATCTTCGGATTCTCCCCGCTATTCGCCCCTACCTCATACCCCGACAAGCTGTGCCGGCTAGTCCCAACAAACACCTCTCCACTACTTGCACTATCCCTCCTTCGCACAATCCTAAATAAATCCCTCTCCCTTCTTTCCCTCTACTCTCCCCCCTACCTCCTCCCACTCAGCTCTCCCAACGCACCCTCGGAGGGCCACTACTCAAGCACCTCTCCAAGCTGCAGGTCCGTTCCGTCTACCCACCCCTGCCCTGTCCTGGCACATGTACGATCTCCCCTGCCATGGCTGCAGGTACGACCTCCTCCACCACCTTCTCTGCAGGGGCCAAACCTCTTCTTTGCTTCCCCCACCCCCTTCTCTGCTTCCCCCCATCCTCTTCCCTGCTTCCCCCACCCCCTTCTCTGCTTCCCCCCCATTCCCTTCTCTACTTCCACCCATCCCCTTCCCTGGTCCCCCCCAACCCATTCTCTGCTTCCCCCCATTCCCGTCCCCATCCCCTTCCCTGCTTCCCCCCATCCCTTTCCCTGCCCGTCCCCATCCTCTTCCCTGCTTTCCCCCATTCCCTTCTCGGCTTCCCCCCATCCCCTTCCCTGCTTCCCCCCATCCCCTTCTCTGCTTCCACCCATCCCCTTCCCTGGTCCCCCCCAACCCATTCCCTGCTTCCCCCCATTCCCGTCCCCATCCTCTTCCCTGCTTCCCCCCATTCCCGTCCCCATCCTCTTCCCTGCTTCCCCCCATCCCCTTCTCTGGTCCACCCCATCGCAATCCCTGCATCCCATTCTCCGTTGTTCCACGCCTCCGGGCCCACTGTTCCCCCCTCGCTTCGCCTCATCACCCCCCCGCGTTCTTCTCCCCTTTCCACTCTCTACCACTCCCGTGCCTCCCCTCTTCTAGGTCACACCCGAATGGAGCCAGAAAACCTGACGCAACGCCTTAGGCAAGCATCCAGAGAAGCATCCGCGCGTGTGGGTTCATCAAGAGGTCATCAGGTCGGCGAAAACAACACTCCAGATACAGAGGACCTAACCCAGTTTGCATGGAGCTCCGTGCCGGGTAATGTTGGAGAATTACCAAATGCCACTCCCCTCCAACAGCCTATATCCGACAACAACGCTGCTCATCCAGCGGCCACTGCTGAAACTCATGGCTCTCCCCCTGCCCCTCAGGCTTCTTTTGCCCAATCTGCACCCTCCGGAAGTCGTGGTGCAGCAAGAACTTCAACGACGAGCACGAGGCCAGGGGCTATATGGAACGATGAGTTAACAGCCGATCTGCTGCGTATTGTGATCGATGCCATGAGAGAGTCTGGCAGGAACCCATCAGCAAAAGTATAGTGCTGGCCAGACATCATGCAGAGATGGACTGCAGAACACCGTGAACTAAGTTTGGGTGTGGAGCAGCTACGCAACAGACTGAACACAGTCAAGGGATGGGTCAAAGATATCAAAGGCTGGGTGAAATCTGGGGTGCATTGGCACCCTGCGTATGACTTCTTCGACCCTAGTATCGTGGTGAGCCATCTCTATGATGGTCTTCCCGGTCTGCATGTCTTACTTCACGTTACACCCTGTAGCAGCCTCTTTCTATGGTCTCATGAACATATGCTTACCTCCCCAATCTTGCAGAGGCTCGAGATTGACATCGAGAATCATGATAAGTGGCCCGATCTGAGCCTTGGGGAGCAGGTGGTTTCTGCTTCTGGTGCTCGCGGGTTGTGGGCAGTCACGACGGGTGACGGCAACAGACGCTACTCGGATGATCCTGGCGGCCACCCCCTGTCGAGTGCAGATGATTCCGTGCAGTCGGGCGGTAACCGCCACCGGCAGCATCGTTGTAGGGCTTCCGCCACTCCCCCTCCCATTGCATCCGCCACTCCCCCTCCCACTGCATCCGCCGCTCCCCCTCCCACTGCATCCGCCGCTCCCCCTCCCCCTGCATCCGCCGCTCCCCCCCCCCCTGCATCCGCCGCTCCCCCTCCCCCTGCATCCGCCGCTCCCCCTCCCCCTGCATCCGCCGCTCCCCCTCCCCCTGCCTCCGCCACTCCCCCTCCCCCTGCATCCGCCGCTCCCCCTCCCCCTGCATCCGCCACCCCCCCCTCCCCCTTCATCCGCCGCTCCCCCTCCCAATGCATCTGCCACCCCCCCCTCCCCCTGCATCCGCCGCTTCCCCTCCCACTGCATCCGCCACTCCCCCTCCCCTTGCATCCGCCACTCCCCCTCCGCCTGCATCCGCCACTCCCCCTCAGGCTGCTACCTCACCCCTTCTTCCACCTCGCCATGTTTCAGCTATTTCTGTCCAAGGCGTAAATGGGTTTAGGATCCCTGGTGCCAGAAACACTCACACCCTCACAGCCGCCGCCTCTCCACTTGGCCCTGCTTCAGCCACACCTATGGTATCGCGATCTGCTTCAGCCACACCTATGGTATCGCGATCTGCTTCAGCCACACCTATGGTATCGCGATCTGCTTCAGCCACACCTATGGTATCGCGATCTGCTTCAGCCACACCTATGGTATCGCGATCTGCTTCAGCCACACCTATGGTATCGCGATCTGCTCCAGCCACACCTATGGTATCGCGATCTGCTTCAGCTACACCTATGGTATCGCGATCTGCTCCAGCCACACCTATGGTATCGCGATCTGCTTCAGCCACACCTATGGTATCGCGATCTGCTTCAGCCACACCTTTGGTATCACGACCTGCTTCAGCCACACTTATGGTATCGCGATCTGCTCCAGCCACACCTATGGTATCGCGATCTGCTTCAGCCACACCTATGGTATCGCGATCTGCTTCAGCCACACCTATGGTATCGCGATCTGCTTCAGCCACACCTATGGTATCGCGATCTGCTTCAGCCACACCTATGGTATCGCGATCTGCTTCAGCCTCTCCCATCCACGCTGCAGCCTCGGCGCCAACAGTATTAGAGGCATCAGCAACCCTAAGCCCTGACCTGCCTGCATCCGCCAATCCTTTCCCAGCCGCGGAACTACTTCTTCACCCACTAGTGCAGCCAGGTTCGTAGCATCGTCATCTCATGCCATACCAGCCTTCCCTGAAACGGCTTTTGCCGCATATTCCACTCCCTCTCCCCCATCAGTCCCGTATCAGGCACGCTCTGGAGTTCCTTCTCCCCATGTCGGGGCAAGTCCCTCGTACGAAAGACCCATTTCCCCCAATCCCGCATTAGTATCATCCCCCACATCAACATGTCGCCCGAATACCTCTCCATTGCACGGAGATAGGGGTGTACCCACCCCAAGTTCCACATCCAATGAGACGGGTAATGCACGCACAAGGCACGAACCGCGATTTCACGGGATTGAGCAAAACTCTCTCATAAGGAAGGGAAATGATCAAACTGGGGTCGAAGAGTGCCAGAGGGATGACCAAAGTAGGGCCAGGAAATCTCGACCGTAGGATTTTCGACCCCGAGCTGCCCAAGAGGCTAGGCGAACAAACCGAACCGTGACTAAAAGAGAAAAGCTACCAGCACCAAACTTTGTGTCCAACTTATTGAAAAAATGGTTACGACCACCGTCTACTACTACGCGCACATCGCGTTCTTCTGGAAGTAAATATTGCGGTGTTAATTTGTGAGTCCAAAAACAAATTCATTATGGGTGATAAATATCACTCCCTGATCGGAAACGCGCAGAATTTTTTTTTTACCCATTCGGAAATGGATGCGACTAGGGAGGCATCTGAGAAAGCTGAAACGAGAATGAAATGACTAAGTGAAAGTTGGGTACAAGTACAAACCCTAGAAAGTTGTACCCCATATGTGCTACCCCAATATAGCCTACAGTAGATATGTCATATAAATCTGACACACCCCCATAGGCAAAGTGGGGGAGAACAAGGGGTCACAAGACCAGTCAAGCAAAGCAAAGCAAAGCAAGCTCAGGGTGGATCACAAAGTCACCACACATTCCGAGCACAAGTTCAAGGCCGTAAGGCCAGTTCACATGCAGGATTACATATATATATATATATATATAAGGCTAGACAAGCAAGAGAAGGTGTACATATATAGAACAGTACAAACAAGGTCAAGGGGTGAGCAAGTGAGGCAAGGTAGGCACAAGACCCAGCTGAGTACAGAAGCGCTGATGATCACAAGGCGCAAGTGCCTTGGTGAAGATATCAGCAGTGTTGGCCTTAGAGGCCACGTACGCAAGTCGCAGCTGACCACACTGCTGTAGCTCACGCGCAAGGAAGTAGCGGAGAGCAATGCGCTTTGTTCTGTGCTCCAGTCTCTACTCTCGACACAAGGCCAGCATGGCCTTGTTGTCTACGTACAACACTGGAGGAGAACGAGGCAGCTCTCCGAGGTCAGCCAGCAGGTAGGTGAGCCAGCGAAGCTCCTGTGCAGCCATGGCTCCTGCGTAGATCTCAGCCTCACAACTGGAGCCGAGAACAGAAGACGAGCAGGTAGCCCACCACGAAACAGAGCCGGAGCCAAGGCTGAAGGTGTAACCCAGTGACGACCGCTGCGTAGCCTGGTCGTCAGCCCAAGAAGCGTCTACGTGCCTAGTGAGGACCACTGGACTCTGCCCTCCAAGCACAAGCCCCATGCTCGACGTACTGCACAAGTAGCGCAACACCCTCTTCGCTGCAGCCATGTGCTCCAGTCTGTGTCTCCCAGGAGCAACATAGCGTGCGAGAATGCTAAGAGGGTATGCAAGGTCAGGTCGTGTGCAGGTCATCAGGTACATGAGGCAGCCAACAAGCCCTGGATACGGGCCACTCGACTCTACGGACTCATCCGAAGGCAGAGCTGAGAGCGAGTGGCGAGTAGGCAGAGGAGTGGCCTGAGGCGAGGAGTACGTGAAGCCGAAGCGCTGAAGGACCTGCTGCACCATGTGTGAATGAGTCAGGGTAATGGTGCGGCGTGCTCTGTCCCAGGTGATCTGCAAGCCAAGGTAGCTGCGCGGTTCACCCAGGTCTGTGCACGTGTGTCTCTTCTGCAGCTCGGACTTCACGTAGGCGAGTCCAGCAGTGTCAGCTCTGGCAAAGACCAAGTCGTCGACGTACACGAGGATGAAGAACGGCGGCAGAGAGGTGTCGGTGCGCAGAAACAGCGACGTGTCTGCAGTGGAAGGAGCAAACCCAAGTGCCGCCAGTGTAGTCCTCAGTGTGTCGTGCCACTCACGCGGTGCCTGGCGGAGACCGTAGTCTGGACGCCGGAGACTCCACTGGGTACCAGGAGGGAAAGACCCAGTGAAGCCAGGTGGGCGACGCAGCCAGATCTCCTCGTGCAGGCTGCCCTGCAAGAAAGCTGTGCTGAAGTCGAGAGAGTGCAGCTCGTAGTCACGGTGAGCAGCAACGTGCAGCAGAACCCGAAGAGTGGTCATCTTCGGGGTGGGGGAGAAGGTCTGAAAGTAGTCAACCCCCTGCCGCTGACTGAAGCCACGAGCCACGTAACGCGCCTTGAAGACAGGCGGAGAGCCCGGCGGCCGCTTCACCCTGAAAATCCACATGCCACTGACGATGTTCGCCCCAGGAGGGGGAACAGCGTCGACGTAGGTGCCTGTGGACTTCCAGGAAGCCATCTCTGCATCCATAGCTGCCTGCCACTGAGAGGAGTAGGGACCCTCTATCGCCTCCGCGTAAGAGCGCGGAGTCGGGATGTCTGGTGCATCCGGGTCTCCCTCAGGGGCTAGCAGTACAGACACGAGACGAGGTGAAGCGGCGGCGAGACACTGGAACTCCTCCTGCCTGTCCTCAAGGACGTCCGTGCCAAGGGCACACTCACCCCCGACGGACGGAAGACAGGCGGACTCAGACTCAGTGACAAGACTAGCAGCGTAGTCTAGACGACAGCGCGCAGCAAAGTCGACAAGCTCAGTGACAAGGGCAGACGCAGCAGACGACTCGAAGGAAGGGTCAGTGACAGCAGTAGCAAGGAGACGCGTGACAGTAGGACTGGCAGCACGAAGAGAGTCCGACTCCGGGTCGGCAAGAGCAGGAAGAGACGAAGCAGGAGGAGAAGGCAAAGGGGCACGCAGAGGAGCAGTGGACGGACGCAGTGACATCCGGTGCGTGCCAGGGACAGGAGGAGGACGCTGACACGACCCGCGACCACTAGTGTGCTCAGTACGAACAGGCGACACGGGACGAGACGCAGGCTCACGACGCTCAGTAAGACCTCCAGTCGGACCAGCGTAGGGAGAAGGAGCAGGCAAAGGGGAGGCAGGCTGTAGCTGTGGCTGTGACCGGACAGGCTGCGGACCCTCTAAGGGAGGAGGAGGAGGTGTAAGACCAAGAACCTGCTGCAGGAGCGGAATGAAGTACGGTCGGGGCCGCGCGGCGACGCTAGAAACAGCAGGAACAGCACCAGCAGCCCCGGCAGGAGCACCCACTCCAGCAGCACCTCCAGCAGCACCACCAGAAGCTCCAGAACCTCCAGCAGCAGCACCAGGAGCACTGTCAGTCGGACCGCCAACGGCAGGCTCAGCGCCAACACCCTCAGCAGTACCAGCTCCAGGAGAACTCTCAGACCCAGCGGCTCCAGCACCCACAGTACGAGCACCGGCGGGACGCGCGGCAGCAGTACCCTCTGCAGCCGAAGAACCACCAGCACCCGCAGCACGCCTCCAGCGCCTGGCAAACCACTCACGCAGCTCCTGTGGGGAGAGTGGCTCCCGGCGAGACGAAGCACCCCCAGGCACAGCACCCCCAGGCTCAGCACCCGCAGGCTCAGCACCCCTAGGCACAGCACCCCCAGGGACAGCACCCCCAGGCTCGGCACCCCCAGGCACAGCACCCCCAGGCTCGGCACCTCCACGCTCAGCACCCCCAGGCACAGCACCCCCAGGCTCAGCACCCCCAGACTCCGCACCCCCAGGCTCAGCTCCCCCAGGCACAGCACCCCCAGGCTCAGCACCCCCAGACTCCGCACCCCCAGGCTCAGCTCCTGCAGCAGCACCAGAGTCACCAGTGACCTCAACAGGCTCGACCGCGTCTACCTGGGACACACCTGAAGGGGCGAGACCCTGAGGGGGGAGGGGGACTACCGGGGGGGGACCTGGTACCAAGAAGAGCGGGGGTGGGGGGAGGGACGGAGTGCGGTAGGGGAAGAGGCGGTAGTAGGGTACCGACTCGTCGAACGTGACGTCCTGGGAGGACAGAACACGTCGAGAGGTGGGGTGGTAAAACTGCCACCCAGGGGCGTCGGAGGGGAACCCCAGGAAGACGCAGGGAGAAGCACGAGGGGACAGCTTGTCCGCAGACAGGTCGCGAACAAACGCCCGAGATCCCCAGACCCGGAACGCCGACGCATCGCCAACCTTCCCCG